TCGGCTCTATAGTGAATGACCCTCATAATGTATATCAATTTCATTCCAGATTACATGTAATTTCAGGTAAATACCACATTAGGACCACTAGATGAAGCTGAGGAGCTGAAGAAATAAAGACTTCTTTCCTATGATTCTCGGCTCCCTTTAGTGGCCATAATGTGGCATTTACCTCATATTACATTTGATCTGGAAAGTAAATATGCCAACAACATTCGTTTTTGCCTCCATTCCCACAAAACAAATGTACATGCAATTTTGCAGGACGAATGGCTCTGCAAATTGTTTATAAATACACCTCTTTACTCCCCACTCTACATATGCATTGGCTCAGCTTTCTGGGCATGGATGAGCATTTGGGGAGCAAAGAAAGTTGAGTATATGATGCTGGGGAGGGCCAGAAAGTTAAAGCCCAAATTCAGGCATAATCATTTCACCAGGTGAAGATGTGCTAATAAGTCTATGCCTCGGCTGCATTGTTATTTGTTCTAGCGTCTTCTTTCAATCTTTTCTTCCCGCAGTACTTTAGCCCGGCCCGGAGTGGTGAAGGTCTCACAGACACCAGTGCCGGTGTTGTGTCTCCGCCCACCTCTCCCCATGGTCATTCATAAAATGTGCGCCCACAGGCAAGTGGTGCTCACCTGATGTACGTGAAGGGAAAAATGAAATGTTAGGTTCTCTTTATAGTACTGCCATACAATACATTTCCTCAAAAGCTTTACATACTGTGCATTCTGTATTAATAATTGTAACCGGAATACAAACTATGGACAGATCTAAACAAAAAAGAACATCTCATGGTCTAGTGAAGAGTTGAGAAAATAGACCTTAGAGGTGAATAAATATGTGCAAGGTCAATATAAAGATTTTTATATGACTGTTGTATCACAAGCTGTGTAAAACCACAAGGGCACGAGAGGTACATAAGACATAAGAACAATGAAATTAAATTTTCACCATCCATTTAGGAAGGGTTCATTGTAGTAAGGGTTCATGGTGCGTGGGCAATAGTTGCCTGTGTTTGAAGCACACTTTAGCTTAGAATGTAGATGTCACCAGCACACCAGCATGACAGAAGCTCATAAGTCAGTGCAAATACATTTATCGATAGATGTCACCCAGAATAACAAGCGCTTTCGGGGCCGCACAGGGTCCCCTTCATCCGGCTCAGAGTAGACCTATGACTTTTGAAGCACACTTTAGACACAAGTCTGAAGGTTTCCATTACGTGTATGCCAGGGCCAAGTAAAAAAACAAAATCAGAGCAAGTGATGAAGAGGGTATTACCCTAGAAACGCGTTAGTAGGACAAAGACACTGGCCTACTTTTCGGATGTCGGTTGCTACATTATGCCGGCTTGTTTTGGTCCTTTAGAAATGCTTTGCTAAAGACGCCGTTTGCGAGTATGATTCAGTTTTTGAATTTTTTGGACAAATAAAACGGTATTTCACGAGGAAAAGGCGCTGTTCTTTTTCTTCTTTGTTTGTAGAACCTGTGTGTCAACGTTTCGGAATCTAACCTGGTTCCTTCCTCAGGCAAACAAAGTGAGCTCTGCGGGGAATCACAGTGGTGATGTCGTGGCTGGCAGGTGGAACTACAGCATGTAAAGGGGGAAGCAGCATCTAACAGTGGGTAGGGTGCTTAATTTTTTGGGGGCCACTAACTCTGTAAAAGTGCAAAGATTACAATCACCGCTTGCCAGGCTGGTAGATATTATTACTCTTTCATTTTTACAAGAGTCACTTTAAGGCCCCCTTTCACACAGGCCCCATCCGTCCTGATCAGCAGGGAATCCATGCACGGATCCCCTGCTGACTGGAGCAGAACGGAACAGATGTCTCTCCTGTGACTTTCATGTCCGTTCAGTTTTTTGCAATGGAGGAAAAAAAAAACTCAGCTGTGCAAACCCATGTTAGGCCCATGGGGAGTCGGATGTAAGTGGACATGTGTCCATTCACATCTGATTACCACCAATCCGTCATGATTAGGTCCCCCAAAATGGAACTGTTTTTTTTATTTGGGGGTAATCGGATGCCTGACATCCGGCTGATCATAGAGTAACATTGGGCTTCCATGTAGATCTGCCTTAAAAACAAGACAGACGGACCTGATCGGACCACCAGTTTAAAAGGGGCCTAAAAGAGACCAGAATATGAAAGAAAATGTAAAAAAGTCGAAAAAAAAAAATCTAGTAACATACAAGAGGTGATTTTTTTTCATGGCATTGGAATTGAACTAAAATAAGGGACATTTTAGGCTAGGTTGACACCTTGGTGAGCGTGCGGCAATCGTGCACAAAACTGCACGGTCATGGACTCGCCCACCACTGCCGATCGCGCTGGCGGTGCCATTATTTTCTAATGGCACCCCAGTCGCACCAGGCACATTGTGCGGTTTCCCGTCGCGATACGACCTTTGCAATTGAATATGATCGCTGCTAAAAAAAAAAAGCTGCGTGTCGTAAAAAAAAAACCCGTACTTGTACCTTTTTTTAGTGATTGCCGCGCAGAAGTAACCCCATTGAAATCAATGGGGCTGCGCGGCAATTCCTGTGTGCAATTCTGCACGATCGCTCAGTCCCGGGATGCGCATCACGGGATTGCCCACATCTGAACCTAGCTTTCAGGGGCAAAAATTAACAGGGACTTTTTTTTATCTGGGGTTGTCTCTAGCAATCAGGAACAGTTCACAGTTATGTCCGCAGTTCTGTATCTATCTAACAAGTAGCCACCTTCTCAGCGTAGGCCAGGCTCCGAATATTCTGCTATAACACAGTCAGCTGGTGCCATCTTGTGCTGAACCGGCGGTATTACACTTTTTTTTCAAAAGAGTTCAACCTCTCAAAAGCAATTAAGATGATTTTAAACGGGTGATAAAAGCCATATAATCCCGAACTGTCTTGGTGAAAGTGTCTTTACAAATTAAAACAGAAAGCAGATCAGATGGCTGTCTCTAGTGATCAGCGGATTGAGTCTTTGGGAGCTGCTTGATCACTGGCAGAATAAAGTGCTTATTTCTGGATAATAACCAAAGCCAGTTCTATTTTCTTGTATGTTGACAGGTTTTTTTTTCTTTAGCAGAACCAGTTCAGTTATTATAATTATATCTTACAGACAATAAAAATGATAATGATGTAAGGTTGCGCTGTTCCAGTTTTAAACAAGAGCTCCAACCTGGTGGAAAAGCAAAGAAAGGCTTTAAACTGAGAAGCTGTTTAGCTTATAAATAAAAAGAATTCCAGATGAAAATACAAATGAATAGCCCGGTAAGGGCTCATTCAGACGGGCATACATGTCCGTACAGCGTGCACACCCGTAAGAAGACCCGTTCCCGGGAGGGACAGGTCCTGCTTGTGATTGCACGCAGCAGCTTGTTCTTCCCTATGGGAGGACGCGGCTGAACCCAACTACAAGTGTGGACACCCAGACCTGCACGAATGTGCAGGTTCAGGTGTGCGCATGACGGCGTGTAATTGCGTGCAACTGCGTCCTCCCATGCGGAAGAACAAGCTGCTGTGCACAATTACAAGCAGCAGCCGTCCCACCCGGGATTGGGTTTTGTTACGGACATGCACGCCGTATGGATGTGTACGCCCATCTGAATGTACCCTTGGAATAAAATTAAAAGCAGTCTTTGCTGCAATACTCATTTTGAAGAGGGAGCACCCATTAATGAAAGAACCCAAATCCAATGAATGAATGAGGAGGACCAGGAACAGTCAGGCTGGGGAAGAAAGAGCTGTAATGCTGGACATCCTCCAGCCAGGAGATTATTTCAGTCCAGGAGAGGAGCCGCTACAACTGTGCAAGACTGAAGGGAAGGCCGGAGGTCAGGTTTAAAGAGACCTTTACAGCTGTATAGTACATCATGTAACCAGTTTTAGAGCATTCATTTCAATGACATCAACTCCTAAAAATAGACTATATAAAATGATTTTTATTTATGGAATTGATTCATATTGTTTCACAATCATACATATCTAAAGCAGTTTTTTAAGGTTTGCATAGAGCAGACAAGGGTCTTTTTTTTATTTCGCAGCCTGTGCTGAGGACACACAACAGGAAGTTGTGAAGAGAAAATGAAGAGAAATCCGTTTTTAGACAGAAGTCACTGCAACAGGTGTCCCCATTGGAAGATTTCCCCTCAACTCCTGTTCCAGTGACGACTGTACAATTTTGGATTTCCCATAACCTTCTGTCCCTTGATAATGATCATCAGAACGAATAGAGAGGGTGAATTTCCCCAGCGGTGACAGAGAGAGCAATAGGAATCGAACAGAGAATTTAACATGAAGAATCTAACAAAGTGGAGGGGGCCCAGACGGGCCTTTACTGTGCATGTTCAGAACAAGTTTTATTGAACCGATGAGGTCATCGATGTGTGCAGTGGCGTAACAATCACCATAGCGACCCAGGCGGCTGCTATGGGGCCCGGGGCACGTAGGGGCCTGGCCAGGACATCTCCCTGATGCTGTGCGGGCCGCCTGGGTCGCTATGGCATCTGACTCGGACAGCCAGGCTGCTGGCTGTCACTGGCGGCTGTGAGGAGGAACGCTGCTGAGTCGGTGACAACTGGCAATTGGTAATGGTTCCTGCTACCAGCAATAAAAACCTGAGAGAGATTCTAACCCCTCTCTACTCTAATTTAACATTTCCATACTCTATACAAAACTAAAAAAAATCGTTTTGGCTTTAGAGATACTTTAAAGAAAACTGAATTTAAACTAAAACAGTTATTAATCCTCCCATGCATAAGCTGAGGTGCGGCTGTGGAATGACATTGAGTGCAATTTATCAAAACTGGAGCAGACAGAATCTGAAGCTATTGTCCATGGCAGCCAGTCAGCTTCTCTTTCACTTCCAAAACTGAAAAGAGAAGCCGATTGGGTTACTATGGGCAACTGCTCCAGATTCTGTCTGCTCCAGTTTTGATACATTCCCTCCCATTCTATTCTGTGACAGTTGCCTGCCATGGGCCAGGCTGCACAGAACAGAAATCACACAGTGTACCTTTAAATCTTAAAAAGAGTTTTCATTGTACTTCAGGGTTGTTCTTGAACAGATACTCCGCCTGAAAGAAAAAAATGAAATGCAAAGTGAGAATTTGGCACATTCATGGTATCATGATAGCAAAGGATCTGAACAGAAACAAATAACATTTAAATGGCCGAAATATATCATCAGGCAACCTTTCTGAAAATGACATAGTTTAAAGTGGAGCGAACCTTAAAAAAAAAAATGAAAGCTCTGTATGTTACAGGAAACATTCATTGGGGGGAATTTATCAAAACTGGAGCAGATTTGCACTGCAACCAATCAGCTTATCTCTCATTTGCAAATCTTAACTGAGCAAACTAGAGAGATGCTTATTGGTTGCCACAGGCAACTGCTCCAGATTCTGCCTGCTTCAGTTATGATAAATTCCCCCCGTTGTGTCTAAACAATACTTTAAAACAAACAAAAAAAGTATATCGACATTTTGTCCTCAATTCCTCCTGAAAAATGGCAGTGCCCTTCCTGTGCCTAGACACCCACGGGTTACCTGTAGGCACGGCTTTTCACTGCTATGTACAGTGTTCTACAGAATGATTGCATAGAAACAGCAGCACATATGTCTATAGTTCTCCGCAATGGATGCTTTAATTGAACTGCCTATCTAGGAAAAGGGAAGCAAATTAGGAAATAGTTACAGAGTAGGTTATCATATTGCCCCGATTTCTGTGTTGGTTTTTCAGAGTTGGACATCGAAGTGAACTCATAATGGCCAATAAATTTCATGGCAGGACGGAACACATAGGCAGGTACTGCCTGCTTCTCAAAAAGTGACAGTCATGACACAGGCATGCTCATGTGGCAATGCCTGGGTTTCTCATTGGGTCGCGTCGGCATCTGACATAGCACTGTGGTACAATCGGTGGGGGGAATGACTTCCTCTGACTTTTAGGAAGTCAGGTTGGAGGACTCCCAGCTATTGCCCTCTAAATCTATCTTATCAAACTTGCACTTTAGACAGTTGCTGGCCACAAGCCTCTAACACCTGAGCACTCAACTAAAGACTGGAAAGCCAGCCCAACTCTATCTATCTATCTATCTATAAATAAGAGAGAGAGAGCGAGAGCGAGAGAGAGAGAGAGAGAGCGAGAGAGAGAGAGAGAGCGAGAGAGAGAGCGAGCGCTAAATCACAATCCCCCCTTGCCAAGCATAAGGGAAGCAAGCAAGATTACAGCAAGATTTACCATCATGCCCAAAACATGCCCTAGTACTTCCCATACACATACCCAATATCAACCAGTTGTAAATTGACCTGATCTGCCATCAATCTGCACCTTCATAAATAACTGGCAGAGACTCTTACCAGATAATCTATGGGGTCGTCTGGGCGGACCTTGACGCAATCGTTTATCCCCTGTATCAGAGTCGGCATAACGTTCTTCATTAAATAATTTCTTAAAGGGACAGACTGAGCCTCCAGTAGTTCCTGTTCTTGGCGCTTCACCTCTTCAAGACGAGTGTTCTGTAATACAAGGACATGCAATCTTCTAACATGCTCATACCTTTCAGTTGCACATTTAGCTTACATTGACATTAATTTGTGAGCAGGTAAAGTGGCCCCAGATCCTTAGAGCAGACTGCAGGCATCTGTGCTTACTTCCGGTGCGCCCAGATTCCCCAAGACCCAGAGCGCTGCTATGTGGAAAAGGTGACCCGGTCTAACATGGCCGACTCTGGGCAACCATTTCCAGCCCCTTCTACTATTATATTGGTCATTAAGCCGGCGTTGCAGCATGCAGGCATGTGCAGAGAAATCAGAAAGAGACAAAGCTTGAATTTAACAGCTCACTTTATTTTTCTTTATTTCACCGGACACATGACTGTCATCTCTGGATGGTGCCTGAATATAGATGGTGCCATCTTTGTGGAGAGAAAAGCAGATGAGGGCACTGGAAGGTATAGACACTTGAAAGTGTTACATTTACACAATTACCCTTTGGAGTTGCTATGACTTAAAAATGACTTAAGGTGACATTAAATGATACCCCCTCCCCAATGCTAGTGTAACGACTTACCTTAAATTATCCCTTTTGATCCGATCATCTTCTTTCCTGTAGTTTTCATCAGTCCCTCCAGTGCTGGTGCCGGTCTCTGATCCAGTGCTGACTGCTGCGTCTTCTGTGTCCCACAGTGTCTGTGCGTGTGCACGCTGCCGGGCTGCATGCATTAACTTACCTTGTATCTCTCCTTGTCTCCCGGCCAAAGATCTGTACTGTGCATGCGCCCGCCCCATGATCCATTGCGGCCACCTGATGTTTTTTAGCTGTTCAGACGGGAGCGCGCGGGGGAGACACAGGTAAGTTTTAACCTTTTTCGTAACTTTTTTTTAATGTTTTTGCATATATCTACTGATTGCTAGCAGAAGATATATGCAAAAACCTCCCGAGGGTTTAATTATCCTTTAACACCTAAAGTAATTAAAGACAAAACTATTTTTTATTTTGGATCAAGGGAGTGCGCAATTGGGAAGATTTCACTTCCCCTCCCTTAGCCAAAACAGGAAGTGATAGGAAATCCCTCCAAAGTGAAGGTGGTCAGCAAGGTCACCATAACTAGTGTCCCCACTGGAAGATTCCCCATCTATTCCTGTTCTGGTGATAAGTCAAAATGCGGGATTTTATTTTCCTTTCGCTATCAATGAAAATGGTCACCAGGATCACTAGAGAGGGTGAATCTCCCCAACAAGGACACAGACAGCAATAAAACAACAGACAGATGTTCTAATCCCTCTTCACTCTACCAAAAACAACAAAAAAGTTTTGACTTAAGTTCCACTTGAACATAAAAAAAATAAATCTGAAGCTTGGTCCTCCTCTCTCCAACCTACCCATTCCTCCAAATGGCCGATCCTCTCTGCTTCCTCTTCAGCCTCCCTCCGCTCCAATTCGGCCTTTCTTTTTAACTCTTGGGAAATGCTTTCCTCGGCCTCCTGAAGTTCCAGCTGTGCTCGCTCTTCAGCAGTTAGGCCATAGTTCCTCGGCTCTCCTATGGCCTTAGTGATCTGCTTTAAGACGTCTCTGTACAATGGGTCATCATCTTTTGAAACATCTATGGGGCCAGAAAAAAAGAAAAGAAAAAGGTAACCAAAAGTGTAAACTGAATGGAAGAGACAGATACAGACATAAAAAATGACAAGCATCAAGAAACGGATCAAATAGAAAATGAGAAGCAACAGCCATCTGATCCACAGCTATCAATAAAATGTGGATCATCTCCAGCAGTCGTCTGTTCTGTACTTAAAGGTTTTGCCCAAGTAGCCAAAGGCTGGAAAATAAAGATCTTAGATCTATAATAATGGTTCAAGAGCTGAAACATTTTATTTTTCAAACAAAATCATCCAAAAAAGGGTACAAGAACTTAAAGTTTCCCACAGACTGCTTATCTGAAATTCCCAAGCCTTATTAAAAATCTAGGATGAGAGGAAGACCCTTGCAGACACACTCAGGTTTATGTGAACTTAGACCGAAAATCCCCTAATTTTAAACACATAGCCTCAAATATGAAGGCACCCATTAGATTTTCATACTGAGTGAATCTGTCACAGCCAAGCTACTGCATCAAAGATATGGCGTAGCTTATGACATGTTTATGACAAGCATACATTAGGTGTATTGTATTCATGAGCTAAATCTATAGTAGTGTTATGTTCTGGAAGGAAGGAAGGAAGGAGTGCATGTCCCAGGCACTTAGATAAGTGTCACCAATATCTGTCCGCGGTATAACTTTCACGAGTGCTTCCGCTCCTTACTGAGGGAAAGCTACATCATCAGTATCCAAGGAAAAGACAGTTACAGTCTTTTCCCAGTAAGCTTGAGCAGAAATAAAGAGAACTCCTCATGTGGCCAACTTGTAAAATACATACATTATAACAAGCACAGGTGACCATAGCAACACCTCGGAGGTCTTAAACTGTAAAGCCACTTGTGACCAGAAGAACCAGAAACACCGGCGACACCAATGTAAATCACAAATGTCACAAGCTTCTGAATAAAACCAGTACTAAGACACAGAGTAGGAAACATCACTGAATTCAGAAAGCAACGCAACCAGTTCAGCCTCAATCACATGGCCGTTTATAGCTGTACACCGCCCAGATCAGTGAATTTCTGCGATGGGTATGCACAAGTGTTTCCTATTAGCTGATGCCACTCGGTCAGTCTGGAGGAGTGGGTGTTCCTAGGCAGACTGCATTGGCATGTACAGCACTCTAGGTAATGCTGAGCCTCCTTGAAAGAAGTGAAATTTTATGCATTGAAGGGCTGGGCCATGGACAGTCAGCCTAAGGAGGAAATGGCTAGACTATGCTGGACATCCTGCAGCCAAGAAATTAGGCAGGCTCTATCCGATTTTCTGCAGCTTCTGATGCGCAATGTGAGAAGCTCATAGTGTGCAGTGAAATCAGAGTGGGCAATTTCAATAAAAGAGAGGAGCCTGTACAACTGTGCAAGACTGAAGGGAAGGCCGGAGTTCAGCTTTAAAGATTTGGCTGAGTGGTATTGGTGGATGGGAGTCAAAGAGTGCAGATGTGTCGTGCTAAGGTTGTAATTTCTACTATTTCCATGTTAGTCTTACCTTTCACTCTGAAAATAAGGCAGCACCCCCACCCTAATGCTTATGTTAGAACATGTGTATGTATAGAGGTTCCAGGGATGTGGTCCAGGAGGTAGGAGTCAGCAGTGAAAAACATGTTGGGGCCCCATGTATAACATACCGATATGCAATGGATGGATTTCAGCCTCATCAAAATAGTTGAGGACAGTTTCGTCTTCAGTGTTCAATTCCCGGAACATAGCGAGGGCCCTGAGGAAACGCTCCTGTGTGTAATGCGTTCCAGCAACCACACTTTCTGGCAGGTTGATCACGCGGTTTTTAAGGAATTCATCGGATGCACCCAGAGAAATAACATATTCTATAAACCAAGAAAACAGAAACATCAAGCAAAGCTCAGTCATAAACGATTTAACCTTTTGTAATAAACTGACATACTTTAGTATTTGTTGTGCATTTAGTTTAACTGGATTATAATTACCTAGAAGAGAATTCCAGCCTAAAGTGAACATGTTCTTTTACCAAGTAGGGTGAAGCAACAGGTTCACTTTAAATTGTAACTATGCAGAATAAAAAAAATGACATATATGGCGCAGTCTGTCAATGGTATTAACACAGCAGTTTTTGTTTTGAGTCCCTACTGACCCTGTCAGTAGATCCATTATTTTTCCACTTCCTTTATTAGGGTGACAACACTGTTCAATCTGCAGTGAAATCGCATAGCAGCATTGTCACCGTGTGGACAGGGTAGTCTTATGATGGACATTTACTTTCAATGAGATTAAGCGACATAGAACCCTTTCCTGCCTGCGATCTGTAGATAAACATTCTTCAACACAATGCTAAGGATGTGTGATAAAACGTTCTATTGCAGTAATAGCAGTCGGCATCTGTGAGCCGTTCTCATAGTCCTATCCATGTGATCACATGACATTGTTAAAAAAGCAAGCTGGTGCTGGTTGCCAATAAAATGAAAGCACACGAGCTTTGGATCATCTGAACTCCACCCAGAGGAGCATTTAGAGTGACCATCCTGCGCGGGGACAGAAATATTCCCCGCACGCCTTTTTGCACCGCCAAGGGGATTTCTCGCAAAATGTGAAGATCACACTCTTTCTTCTACATTTTTTTAAAACGTATCTATAGCTTTGCACTATAAAAAAAATACTACACTCAGTCGGATCTCTCCTGGGACTCTTTGTCCTCAATATTGTTGCTCCTACTGTTTGTAGTTATCCCTTTTTCATATGAAGGGGGAGTCTGGGCCAACAGTTGTTGCTCTGCTGTGTGTATATAGAGCACTGATTCACTCTTAAAGGTGAACTATGAGGTGAGTGATTTTCACTCAAACTCATAGTTCGAGCCGACGTGTGACAATGAAACTGGCACACGCCGGCTCAATAGATCGGGAAGTGAGCGGACACATACCGTCGCTCGTTCACTTCTCGATCATGTCCCTGCAGAGAGCCGTGATTACCACTCATGGCTACCTGCAGGGATTCCCCCCCTTCCCTCTCCGATCCCCCCTTCCCTCTCCGATCCTCCAGCGCTGACTGGAGGAACGAACGGGGGAGAGAGCGGGTACAGCTGGCTCTGCCTCTAGATAGGCAGAGCCAGCAATCAATCACGCAGCTGGGCGGATCTCAACAGTAATGTCGGGATACGTCCCGGCTGCGGCGGCCTCAGTATACCGCAAGCTGTAGCTTGCGGTATACTGAGCTTTGGGTTGCGGGAGGACGCTAGTTTATGTCCTCCCGTGACCTTTAGGAGAACTATGGGGAAAAACACTTACCCCATAGTTCTCCTTTAAGTCATCCTATGTCCATGTGAGAACTACAAGAACCTCAGCATTCCTTTACAAGTCCTTTTGTAAATAAAACTGTTCTTAAAGGTCTCAACTGGTTTTTGGATGGAGAGTCTCTTTAAAATAACCTCCTTTTACATACCTGGGGTGATGGTTTTATCAAAATGTGGAGCTTTACTCCTACTCTCCTCCTCTTCTTCTCCTTCTTCCGCTAAAAACCAAGAAACAAAATGTATTTTAAATCTCATCTTGTACATTTACAAAAACCACTTCCAAGCATGTTCCATATGGGGAAGGCAATCTTACGCACAGTTAAAAAGTTCCTTTGCTTGCTCGTAGGTCTTGGGATATCCATCTAAGACATAGCCCTGGTTCTGACAAGGCATAGACTTCAGTTTCTCCTTCATGAACTTGATCACATAGCTGTCATCCAGACGCCCTGCATTTAGATATATTGTGAGACAGATGTATACAATACATAAAAAAAATATTTGTGGATACATCATCACAAAGTTTCCATTTGAAGCTATAACAGCCTACACTCCTTATTAGTTACTTAGTATTTGAGGTTGAAAAAAGATACAGGTCCATCAAGTTCAACCTTTGTGTGTCTGTGTGTGAGCTGTGCGTGCGTATAAGAGTCCCTGTGTGACCTAGTATTTAAGTATACCTGTACCCCTGTACGTTGCGGTCTCTTAGGAAGGTATCTAATTGATTTTTGAACTAATCAATATTCTTTGCAGATACCACTTCTTGTGGCAGAGGTCCAAAATGTAACCGCTCTAACTGAAAAGAATCCACTACACCCTTTGTGGATAAATCTTTTCTCCACCAATTTTAGGTAGTGGCCTCTAGTCCTCGTTACAGAGTTTACAGTAAAAAGTTTAGTGCCGATGTTGCCATCACCGCTGAACATTTTGTACAACAAAATCATGTCGCCTCTTAATCTCCTCACTTCCAGCGTGAAGTTTAGATTTAGCAACCTCGTCTCGTAGCTTTGATCATCCAGCTCCTTAATAAGCTTAGTTGCTCTTCTTTGGACTTTTTGCAGCTCAAGGACATCTTTTCTGTGGACTGGTGACCAAAACTGAACCGAATATTCAAGATGAGGCCGAACCAGTGATCTATAAAGTGGCAAAATGATTGCTTTGTCTCTACAGTACATTCCCTTTTTAATACAAGGCAGCACTCTGCTCGCTTTGTTTGCCGCCGCCTGGCTTTGCGTGCTGTTATTCAATCTGCGGTCAATTGTGACCCCCAAATCTTTTTCCATTTCTGACTTTTCACAAAATTCTAAAATATGTGGCAATGGACCATATGTAAGGTGATGTACTCATTTAAAATGAGAAGACCAGGCAAGGAATTGGGGTTCCAATTCATCCCAAAAGGTGTTCAGTAGGGTTGAGGTCAGGGCTTTGTGCAGGCCATTGAGTGCCTCTATACAATACTCATCAGACCACATCTTTCTTAGAGCCGGTTTGTACACAAACTCCAAACAAGGGTCACAGGCATGCTGGAACAGAAAAGGTTCTTCCCCAAAATGTGGCCATGCTGGGAGTGGGAGATAAAAAACCCCATTATTATGTAGAAGACAAAGAGCTCCTTGTGCTCCCCCTGCAGCTGGTCACAAGTTTGTTACAGTGGGCACAAGCATGACCCAGGGTTCTTGCAGCCCTGCATTGCTTCAACCTGCATTGTAGATCACTGAGATTCAATTATCAAGTCACACCTGGCCATTTTTAGGAAGTGTCAACTACTATTAATCACCATTGCTCGCACAAAATGGCCAAATCCAAGCAACGTATTGCCAGTGACTTGTTTCAGAATTTCTATAGAAATTGTTGGCAGTAGCTGGCTTTGATCTGTTGGTTTGTTTTTGTAGTGAAAAGCTCATTTAAATTGGTTGCAATTGCCAGGAATTATCATGTATATGACCAACATAAGTCATTTAAAGAGGACCTATACTGTGGATGCTGTGCCCCCAAAAAGTCTAGCAGAGGGCAATGGACTGGTCAACAGTATTGTCTTTAGGTTCCCTGCAGCTGATCTTTTGAGGTTATTTTCAGTGAACACTACATGCGAATGATTAGTATATCCATACAAAGGCAGCTAAAGCTACAGTATATACAAATCTTGCATTTTGCTGTAAAAGTCAAGCTAGGCCATGGCCAAACATTCCTTCAAAGCCTCCTTAATTGTCATTGAGGCCAGTTTAAAAAGGGCAAATACCTCCATTTTGTTCCATGTTCTCCTTCACAGAATCCAACAGTTCCTGCCATGATTCCGGACCTTCTTCCGCTTCCACTTCCTCCTCTGGAGGAGATTTCACAAGCCTTTCCTTTAAACAAAGAGAGAAAACAGTACATGCTATAGTCAGGCTTACAGGGAAGGTTAGTGTTAGAGTGAAGGTTAGCGTTAAGGTAACAGGGAAGGTTAGCGTTAAGGTAACAGGGAAGGTTAGCGTTAAGGTTACAGGGAAGGTTAGCGTTAAGGTAACAGTGAAGGTTAGCGTTAAGGTAACAGGGAAGGTTAGCGTTAAGGTAACAGGGAAGGTTAGCGTTAAGGTTACAGGGAAGGTTAGCGTTAAGGTAACAGTGAAGGTTAGCGTTAAGGTAACAGTGAAGGTTAGCGTTAAGGTAACAGTGAAGGTTAGCGTTAAGGTAACAGGGAAGGTTAGCGTTAAGGTAACAGGGAAGGTTAGCGTTAAGATAACAGGGAAGGTTAGCGTTAATGGTAACAGTGAAGGTTAGCGTTAAGATAACAGGGAAGGTTAGCGTTAAGATAACAGGGAAGGTTAGCGTTAAGGTAACAGGGAAAGTTAGCGTTAAGGTAACAGGGAAAGTTAGCGTTAAGGTAACAGGGAAGGTTAGCGTTAAGGTAACAGTGAAGGTTAGCGTTAAGGTAACAGTGAAGGTTAGCGTTAAGGTAACAGGGAAGGTTAGCGTTAAGGTAACAGGGTAACAGGGAAGGTTAGCGTTAAGGTAACAGGGAAGGTTAGCGTTAAGGTAACAGGGAAGGTTAGCGTTAAGGTTACAGGGAAGGTTAGCGTTAAGGTTACAGGGAAGGTTAGCGTCAAGGTTACAGGGAATATTAGCTTTAAGGTTACAGGGAAGCTTAGCGTTAAGGTTACAGGGAAGATTAGCGTTAAGGTTACAGGGAAGATTAGCGTTAAGGTTACAGGAAAGGTTAGCGTTAAGGTTACAGGGAAGGTTAGCGTTAAGGTTACAGGGAAGGTTAGCGTTAAGGTTACAGGGAAGGTTAGCGTTAAGGTTACAGGGAAGGTTAGCGTTAAGGTTACAGGGAAGGTTAGCGTTAAGGTCACAGTGAAGATTAACATTAAGGTTTTAGGGAAGGTTAGCGTCAAGGTTACAGTTAAGGTTACAGGTAAGATTAGCGTTAAGGTTACAGGGAATATTAGCGTTAAGGTTACAGGGAATATTAGGCTAATAATTGAGAAAGAAAAATTCTTATTGTCGCAGACTACAGCAGGGTTTACAAACCAGATTTGCGATGGCCTCTGTGATGACATCTTTTATGTGAATGTGATGCAGTTTGTAGTGTTTGCATAGCAATTTTGACACAGTTGTTTTTCCTACAGCGGGAGGTCCGAGGATACAGATACGGATGGGCTGGAAAAAAAACACAAATTTGCATATTATGGAAGGTACTTAATATAAATGACTCTATTATGTATTGTCTGTAGCATCTCATAGCTGCACTGTAACACTGATGGCCTTCTAAATCCACATACCAGAAGTCCTTGACTTTCCTTGAACTCTTTGACGACAGATTCTATGTTTTCCACTATTCCGTTCTGAGACACCCAGTTAATGTTAAAATTCTCCTTCAAGAACACGGCTTCCATTCTCAGGTTTACCAGTAAATGGTCAATCTCTATTTGCTGAAAAAGAACAAAGATTTGTTGCTTGGGTCTCTGATTATTTAGCAAAGAGCCTTCAGTGTGTGGGATTGTGAATACCTGGCCTAGATATTCATATAGCAAAGTGACTGGTGTCCCCAGAACAATAGATTACAAGCCATATGGACATTTATAGTGAACTAGTAGCTAGGCTCTGTATCACTAAAAAAAACAAGTTAATTCACAGCAAGGCTAAAAGAGACCCTGTTGCCAAAATTGCAGGTAAAGGAACAGAAAAATCAAGTGCAAAAAATGTTAAATGCTTACTTTCAGTGTTTTCCCTTACCATACATTATTTTTTATTCATTTGCAATGTGCCTCTGAACTTGCTAGAAAATCTGACTACTCCAGAAGAGTCAATTTCCTAGAAAAACCAACTGCCTCCTTGGACGTCATAGCCCTTTCAAAGGGTCTCTTTAGAGTGAATGTGCGCATTCCCCATGCTGGGCAAAGAAACAGGTTCAGTTTAATGCAGACCTCCACAGTTGCATATACTTACTTTCCTTTGGCTGCCCCACCTCTAGGAGTGAAGTAAAACCCTGTGTTAGTGACTCCTCCCATGCTTGCCTCCAGGACTTCACTAGAGTCTCTCCCATCCTATGGAACTCTTTACCCCAACCTGTCCGACTATCTCCCGCCCTGACTGCCTTTAGGTGATCCCTTAAGACTCATCTCTAGGGAAGCCTATCCCACCTCAACCTAACCACTGAACTATCACATTCTCAAACAATTCATGCCCACACAGCTACCTCCTCATGTATGTGTCATCCACGGCTCCCTGCAGGGATCCCCCCCTCACCCCTGTCCGATCCTCCAGCGCTGACTGATAGGCAGAGCCAGCTGTCACTCACGCAGCTGGGTGGATCTCGACAGTAATGTAGCTCGCGATATACTGAGCTTTGGCTCACGGGAGGATGCTAGTATGTGTCCTCACGTGACCCTTAAGAGAACTATGGGGAAAAACACTTACCCTATAGTTCTCTTTTAAGCTCTCCTTTAGGTCCTTCTCTGCTGATTGACAGCAGCAGTGGGCCGGTGCAATAGCCAGCCTGCTATTGGCTATTGCAACTTAAATATCCAACAGCAGCCTAGCTATTCATTCCCATGCTATCTGTTGTTTTTTTTTTTTTTAATTCTGACGACA